TAGTTGTTGTAGCGAAGTCGAAGTCCCATATCCAATGGTCGTACCCTCGACTGTTTACGCAAAATACCGACATTCTTTGACTGCGGCAAAACGAAAAAATTCCATGGGGAAATTTGCCCTAAAATTTGAATTTTGGGTTGTTAGTTAAGCAATACGAACATATGCTAAGACTTCATCAGCTTTAAGAAAACACGCAAATTACCGTCATAGGTAATGCTCAACATCACGCTCTACATATTATAAATCTGCACTCTATAATCAAAAACTCTCAACATGAGATGGGAGGAAACTTGGAGAATACGGAGATATGAAGTTAACTGATAGCGTTTCGAGACGGCTTTTTTGAAGACAGCAGTGATCATGCAATAGTGTCGATCCTGCAGAGTAATTTCAGAAAGAGAATGTGCTACTGTTACCCCTTTTTCCTATATGCAACTAACATTTTATGAATCTCTTCAGTGCAGATCTTTAGGAGATTTTCCTTACTTCGCAGGCTGTGAGAATAATTAAATAGCTGTTATAGCTGTTACGCGCAATTCTGGATCCTATATAACATATCATTGAATTGAATTAATTTTCATACGCTAAACCCGTTTCACTTTTATGTCTTCAACTTAATTTGGCAACTTTTTTATCTTTTTTTTTCGTCTCCTCATTTGATCTCACGGAGCAGCAGTCTTCTACTACTTAGCAGTGAATTTGATTTTGCCGTTAAGTGGACTACTTTAACATACGATTCACTACAATCTTTAAATATTTTGAAACATTATAGGGAATTTGATCCTCTACGATTCTTTGGAATGTTTGTACTACTCGCACAAATAAAAGGATTTATGAATTGGTCTTCTGCTCTTTGCAAAACTATGAAAGGTCCTGTTTGATCAAGTTGACTATTGGGTAGTAGATGTCAGCTGCGGCCCGAAGTCCCCAGATAAAATCAAGATGATTGTAGTCCTTCAGCTCCACGTTACCCTGGAAACTGCGTTACCTGAATGTTTTGAAATCACACTTGAGTTCCTCACCACGACAGTGTGGAGTATTCTTGGTAGTAAATACTCGGATATATCTTGAGGATCAGCAAGCCAGTCACTATCGCCCCAGTAGAGGTAAACTGAGTTTTGTATCTTGGTGAAGTCATAATCCGGTGGGTTCGCCTGGAAATACATAACTATTAATAACTAGCTAATAATAACTGCAGAAGCATTATCACAATTTGCCGAGTTGGACTTACTCCATTAACGGAATTCCTTCTAAAGACAATGAAAAATTCGCCAACAATTTCTGCATTTGAATGTTTTGATTTGTCGATTGCAATACAAATTCACATTATATTTTTATCAGGCAAAGGTAGTTCATAAGCATCTTTACAAAAATTACTTTCCTCTCACTAAGCAGCCAATTT